GTAGGAGACCAGTACTGCTTATGTAAATAGGAAAGCAAGGAGGGCATAGTAAGATCCTCCTTCCTTTGAAGTAGTTGTAAACACTGTTTTCAGATCTTTTCCTTTTGTGCAAACAGGAATTTGGCGGCCGATCTTCTCCTGATGACTCCTGATCACGAACTACAGTTAATAAAACTCTGTGCTTTCTACCAAGGGTGTGCCGAAGAGTTAAATGATCTTCATGAGAAGGTGTGCTGATGATATTGAGTATTCTAGTTTGGAATGAAATGCTATGATTTAACTAATGTTAAGTTTAGGCAAATAGAGGTACGTGCAGAAAAACAAGTATATAGTACCTTTAAAAACAAACATACCTCCTTGCCATCGAGTGGATTCCTACACTTAGCGACCCTACAGTCCAGAGTAGAACTGCCTCGTAGGGTTTCCAAGGGGTGGCTGGTGGATTTGAGCCACTGTCGTTTCTGTTAGCAGTCGAGTGCTTAACCACTGTGCTACCAGGGCTCCGTAGGAGCCTTTTAAAAAATATAATAATAACAGTAAAGAGTAACATTTATTGAGCATCTTCTCTGTGCTTGAAACTAAATTTTTACATATTTTTGTGTCTTAAACTAAATTCTCATGAAACCCTGAAAAGGAGACAATATTATTTCTATTTTGCAAACAAAGAAAGTGAGCTTGGAGAAGGGATGGAACTTGCCTAAATTAGTTAGTTAATGGTGGAGCTTGAATTTTAACTCAAACCCAGCTCTGAATCCCTAGCTCTTTCCACTGTCCCAATTCCCTCTCAAGGCATCTGTATGCTAACTTTCAAAATAGACAATGTAGGGTCTTTACATGAATTAACTAAGTATAATAAAATTCATATTCGTTACTGTAAAGGGCTTATAAAAATACTTCTTTGCTGAATTTTGAGTTCTGTGTACCAAGATTATATATAAAAGCAACCTAAATGTTTGACAATAATGGAATTAATTATTTAAATTATAGTACATTTGAATATTTCAGCGCTGTGAACCCAGGAAACAGATCATGAGGGTCTATTTTTATTAACAGTGGTAAAAAAAAAAAAAAAAAAAAACCTTCTGCTAC